GACCATGTAGCTGAGATCAATGAAGGGGTCACTGATGGTGACAATATCTACTTAGCCGGAGTTAAAAGCAGCCCTGGTGACCAGGCACCCAATATGGCCAAATCTGTTCATTCTGACCTTCACCATTGTTTCTCAGGGTTGTGGCTGGCACTGTGCAGGAAGACGTGGTTGTCTGATGAACTAGAGGAGCAGAGAGTCATAGAAAGTATCCTTTATCTTTCCTTCTTCCTCCCCTTGAACCTGCTTTGAAGTTTTTCCCTTTTCAGAGCAGTCTTTGGCTTTTTGTAATGCAGAATTGGGAGGAAACTGGGAAGCAGGAAGACAGGCCAACACAGGAGGGTGGAGGCCAGGGCTGAAGGAGTTATTTACTTATTTATTTATTTTTGAAACTCATCTTTATTGTTTAATGTATTACAGATGTCCCTCCTCTTTCCCCTATTGACTGATGCCTCCCCATTCCCATCCTCCTCCTGCCTTCCCCACACTATTGTCTGTGTTCATTGATTATGAATACATGCATATAAGTTCTTTGGCTTAGCTCTTGCTCACTCCCCCCCTTCCCTTTGAGGTTTGTCAGTCTAACAACCAGTTGGTACTCCTTAATCCCTTCACCTTTTCCACTCATTCCCCCAACCCTCTTCCCATCCAGCAACCAACAAAAAATTCTCTATTATCTATGAGTCTGTTTCTGTTCTGCTTGTTCATTTGTTTGTAGATTTAATTGTTGATAGATATGTATTTATTGTCATTTTATTGTTCATATTTTTTATCTTCTTTTTCTTCAGGAAGACCCTTCAACATTTCATACAATACTGGTAAGACCAGCTGGTGTGTCTCAGTGGTTGAGCCTCGACCCATGCACCAAGCGGTCGCTGGTTCAATTCCTGGTCAGGGCACATGCCCAGGTTGTGGGACCGAACGCAGTGGGGGTCCTGCAAGAGCAGCCAATGGATGTTCTTTCTCATTCATGTTTTTATCTCTCCCTCTCCCTTCCTCTCTCTCTAAAAATAAATCAATAATAAAATAATAATAATATTGATTTGGTGGTGATGAACTCCTTTAGCTTTTTCTTGTCTGGGAAACTCTTTGTATGTCCATCAATTCTAAATGATAGCTTTGCAGGGTAGAGTACTCTTGGTTGAGGGTTGTTGCTTTTCATCACTTTGAATATTTCTTGCCACACCCTCCTGGCCTGCAAAGTTTCCTTTGACAAATCAGCTGATAGTTTCATGGGAGCTCCCTTGTAGGTAACTAACTGCTTTCATCTTGCTGCTTTTAAGATTCTCTCGCCCTGGCTGGTTTGGCTCAGCGGTTAGAGCGTCGACCTGCGGTCCTGAGAGACCCGGGTTCGGTTCCCGCTAAGGGCGCGTACCTCGGTTGCAGTTTGTCCCCAGCCCTGGTCGGTCGTGCGGGTGGCAGCCACTCGATGTGTCCCTTTCACATTGATGTTTTTCTCTCTCTCTCTCTGTTCCTCTCTCTCCCTCCCACTCTACCTGAACAAAAAAAAATGGGAAAATGTCCTCGGGTGAGGATAAAAAAAAAAAAAAAAGATTCTCTCTGTCTCCCTGGCTAGTTTGGCTCAGCAGTTGGAGCATTGGCCTGCAGACCAGAGAGTCCCAGGTTCGGTTCCCACTAGGGGCACGTACCAAAAATAATTAATTAATTAATTAATTAAATAAATAATAAGATTCTCTCTGTCTTTAACGTTTTGCATTTTGATGATGATGTGTCTTGGTGTGAGCCTTTTTGGGTTCATCTTATTAGGGACTCTCTGTATTTCCTGAACTTGTATGTCTGTTTCCTTCACCAAGTTAGGAAGTTTTCTGTTACTGTTTTTCCAAATAGGTTTTCAATTTCTTGCTCTCTCTCTCTTCTTCTTCTGGCACCCCCATGATGTGAATGTTGGTATGCTTGAAGTTGTCCCAGAGGCTCCTTACAATGTCCTCATTTTTAAAAAATTCTTTTTTCTTTTTGCTGTTCTGGTTGGGTGTTTTTTGCTTCCTTATATTCCAAATCAATGGTTCGCTTCTTGCCTTACCTATTCTACTGATTCCCTGTAAATTCTTCTTCTTTTTTTTTTTTTTTGTGGTACGTGCCCCTAGCAGGAACCAAACCCGGGACTCTCTGGTCCACAGGCCACGCTCCAACAGCTGAGCCAAACTGGCCAGGGCTGTTTACACTTTTAATGTTGAAGTACATTTTTTGATAGTATAAGCTATTGAAATCCTAATATTATGTTGAAAAGCTTAAATGTTACCTTTTTCAGGATGCTAGGTCAGGTCCCCATTTAGTCTGTCCTTTCCTATCACATTGCTTGTAAGTCTTTTATAAAACCAAATTCATTCTGCCAAGTGCATACCTGTTGTACAGTGACCAGTTTGACCAAACTGGGACAAACTGTCCCAGTTTGTCTGGACCAAAGGATTTCCTGGGATGAGCTGGCCATCCTAACTGTCGATAAGTGTCTTCCCCATTACATCCAACACTCCAGGAAGGAAGGGAAGCCTTTTTATCCCTAGTCACACAAGGACTTGCACATAGAAATAGCGATATTAACAACAACAATAATAGTTTGCTCTTGAGTATTGTCTGCATTCCAAGACCTGTGCTTACCTCTGTACAACCAAATAAATGAAGTAGGTCATTTCCCTTTTCTATAAAAAAATTGAACCTAAGCCGGTTAAGCCAGAATTTGAGAAGGTGGGATAAAAAGAGAACCTAACCACCTCTCATCATGTCATCATAGTAGTTCTCAAACTTTTTGATCTCAGGAACCTTTTATTTTTTCTACTTCTTTATGCCTTTATTTGTTGATTCTTGTCTGTGCTCTGAATGGGGATCAAACCTGTGCCCTTGGTTTATTGGGATGATGCTTTAACCAGTTGAGCTACTTGGCCAGGGCAGGTATAAAAATTATGAACAGACAAGGCCTACAGATTTATTTCTTCTTGGACACACCCACAGTGTGACCCTGGTGGCTGATTGTCTTGGTGTGCTGGCCTCGAACACAATGTCCTTAGAAGTGGTGCAACCCTCTGTGGGTCTGAATTTTCTTCAGTTGCTCCAGGTTTTCATGGAGCTGGTTGTCCAGACCACTGGCCAGGACCTGACTGTATTTTCTTTCTTTCTTTTTTAATCTTTAATTGCAGTGATGGCAGAGGCTGTTTTTCCCTTCTCCTCCATCTTGGTGTTGAGTACTTGCAAAATGTCCTGGAACTTCTCAGGGATGACTACGGACATGTCAGCAGTCCCAGGGGCTGCACGTAGGCCTCTGGTAAACTTGAGTTGTGTCAACCGATAGTTGTTGGCGTTGAATGGGTATCAATTTTAGGTAGGGTTTAGAAGGAAGCTAGTTAGTGCAAAACAGCTCAACCGTGATGCAGCATATCTGTGTAAACAACATGGCTGTGAGGCAGCCCTGGGGCCAGGGGCATCTCTGGCTAGATAGCTCTGCCCTGCCCTGCCCTGCCCTGCCCTGCCCTGGTCTGTTCCACTCTGCTCCAGTGAGACATCTTCAGTGTTTTAGCTCCAGCAGCTGATGAAAGGCAGTCTTCAGTGCAAAGTAAAGTGTGCTCCTCAGGAGCCTTTTATACTCTTAAGAATTACTGAAGATCTCCCTCCCCACCCCCACCAAACTTTTATGTGGTGTATATCTACTAATAGTAATTATTAGAAATTAAAACTGAGAATTTAAAACATATTTATTCATTATTTTAGTTAAACATTAATGCACATTAACATGAATAATACATTTTGTAAGTGAAAAATAACTATATTTTCACTCTGGTTGATGTGACTTAGTTGGTTGGGTTCATCTGGAGCACTGAAAGTTTGCCTGTTCAATTCCCAGTCAGGGTATTCAGGGCACATGCGGCCTTGTAGGCATGACACCCAAGTAGGGGGCTGTGCAGGAGGCAGCCAATCAATGTTTCACTCTCACATTGATGGCTCTCTCTCTCTCTAAAAATCAATAAAAATATTTTTAAAAAGTTAAAAAAAATTGTATTTCCCCAAACAAAAACATTCCAGTGGGAAAAGTAGCAAATATCTTTAATGTCTGGCTTCATAAAAAAAAAAAAGTGCCCAGCCTGTGTGGCTCAGTGATTGAGCAGCGACCCATGCAACAAGAGGTCACTGGTTTGATTCCTGGTCCAGGGCATATGCTCAGGTTATGCACCCGATCCCATTAAATGTTTCTCTCTCCATCTCTCGCTCTCCCTTCCTTTCTCTAAAAATCAATAAAGAAAAAAAAAAAAAAGAAGCGCAGGGAGCATTTGAGATCTTCTCCCTGATATATGTAATCAGTTTGGCTCAAATAAACTCTTATAATAAAAGTTAAAAAAAAAAACCCAAACTGCTGGATTCTCGCATCTGCTCTACAGTTCAATCTGTTACAAACAAGTATCTTTCAGCCTTTGGAAAACTCCACTGTACATTGGTGAGAGAAAGAAAATGAGAAAGGCAAATAACGTCTTAGTATGATTATCAAAATTGTTTTGCCTTGGGAAGCCTGGGTTCCCTGAACACTTTGGCAGGTGCTGATGTTGTGTATGAAACAATCAATCATGCATTCATGACTTTATGGCAGACCTCAGGGGAAGAGGTAACCTTTGGTTTGCACGAATGTTGGATTTTGGTTTGTAGACATCCTGGGCCTTACCGGGTTCAGCGAGGAGACAGGGAGGACAACATGCCAAACCTTATTCTGTGAGCTTTGCCTGGGTTATCGACCTTGGACTACAACTCCCAGCAGATCGTGCGCCAGTAGGTGTGTGTCCGCAGTCGCGAAGAGAGTGTGTGACTTAAGCCGAATGACTGACGTAGAGGGGGCGTGCCTATTCTGGTAGGAGAGGTGCCGCAATTGGAAGAATTGGGAAGAGGGGGCGGAATTAGTGTTTGGGTCAGCCAATGGTTTGCAGTCAGGCAGAGGGGGGCGTGGCGTGGCTGGGCTCACTCACGGGTTTCTTGGGGTTCGTGGAGCCGGACGAGGGTTTGTGGGGTGGGCACGTGCGGTCCTGGGGCTGGGACAAGCAGGGCGGGAGATGGCGGCACGATGGAGCAGCGAGAATGTGGTGGTGGAGTTCCGCGACTCCCAGGTGAGCCGGCGGCCAAATGGAGCTTTCTGGGCATGCGCTCTCCCTTTTCCCCTCCCCCATGCTGCCGGGTCCGTTTCGGGGGCGGAGGGTGGACCCCCTCCTGTTGGTGTTGGGGAGATGAGCAGCAGGGTGGCTGGGAGCTTCAGACCCGAGAGTGCGAGGGGACGGTTGGGGCAGGCACGAACAATGTTTTGGGGTTACCCGCGAGGGTACGGGAAGTGGGGTCTGCCTTGGGACGCCGAAGCGCATAGATGGCGCGCAAGTGAGTGATGAGAGGTTTCCCAAGGTCAGGATGGTGAGCGAGGGGGTGTTTGCTCCTCTAGGCGGGGGGCCACGTTTAGTGACTTCGGTCGAGTCGCAGAACTCTGAGCCTCAGCAGTGGGGCTTAACCCTGCCTCCAAGGATTTGGGAGTGAAGTTGATTAAAAAAAGAGAAAGAAAAGAAACTGAACGATAAGTGCCTGTTTCGGCGCGTAAGCTTTTAAGTGGTTGCTGATGCTAGAATAGTGGAAAATCCCGTTTAGCGAGTGAATAGGAGTGTGTACTGCCCGTGTTGCTTGGGTTGGAATCCAGGCTCGGTCCCTAGCCTGTCATCACCGTCTGCCTCCCTCTGTGCATGAGTTTTTCTCACCTGTGCGAAACTGTGAATTGTACCTACCTAATAGGGTTGGCGTGAGAATGTGTGGCACAGTGACAGGTACATGGTAAGCCTCAAAGCTCTTTTGCACTTAGTAGGGATTTTTATCATTTTTCTATTTCTTGTCTTCCGTATACCAGGCCGTGCTGTCGTTTGTCTGCATTTTTTTCTGATTCATGAAAGAACCACGGTAGATAAGTAGATGTTATCTCCTTTTTCCAAACGGGGAAGCTGATCCTGGTTTGGCTGATCCTGTGACTTGACTGAGGCCTCCCATTATGTGGCTGCATTGGGATTTGATCTTGGGCATCTGGTTCCAGGACTCTTGTTGGCCTCATTTCACTAACCGTGCTTGGTACTGTATGACCCTATCATACAGTTGTTCCTCAATAAATATCATACCCATCCACCCTTTCCCCAGCACCTCAGATAGTATCTGGGTGTTTCTCTTTTTAAATTTTTTTTCTTTATTGATTTTAGAGAGAGAGAAAGGGAGAGGGAGAGAGAGATAGAAACATAGATGAGAGAGAACATTGGCTGCCTCTTGCATGCCCCTCACTGGGGATTGGGCCCACAATCTGGGCATGTGCCCTGACCGGGAATTGAACCAGCGACCTCTTGGTGCATGGGTTGACGCTCAACCACTGAGTCACACCGGCTGGGAGGGTGATTCTCTTTTTCATCAACAAATATTTCTGGAATACCTTTTGTGTGACAGGTTTTCATTCACTCATTCAACAAGGATTTATTGAGTTCTTGTGGCTAGGTGCGCACTGTACCTGGCACTGTATTGATACTCAAGTGATTTATTATTATTTTTTTAAAGAGATTCTCTTTTTTATTTTTCAATTTTTATTATTTTTTTTTATCTTCACCTGAGGACATTTTTCCATTTTTTGTTCAGGTAGAGTGGGAGGGAGAGAAAGGAACAGAGAGAGAGAGAGAAACATCGACGTGAAAGGGACACATCGAGTGGTTGCCACCCGCACAACCAACCAGGGCCGGGGACAAACTGTGAATGAGGTACTCACCCTTAGCAGGAACCGAACCCGGGTCTCTCAGGACTGCAGGCTGATGCTCTATCCGCTGAGCCAAACCAGCCAGGGCAAGAGATTCTCTTTTTTTTAAAAAATAGGTTTTTATTGACTTTTTAGAGAGAGCTAGAAACATTGATGTGTGAGAGATACATCAATCAGCTGCCTCCTTAATGACTCCTATTGAGGATTGAACCCGAAACCCAGGCATGTACCCTGACTGGAAATTGAACTGGGACCTCTCAGTCCATAGGAGCCACACTGGCCAGGCTCGGGTGATTTATTCTGAAGGGAAAGGGGATTATAACAAGGGGTGATGTGTTTTTTTCTTTCTAAAACCCCATCCGGTTTTTGCCATAAAGACAATGTGTGGAGGAGCCACCCACCAATTTCTCTATGGTGCTCTGATGCATAGTTCCCATGGAGAATTTGAGTAGCAACATTCCGATTAAAGGATCCTGAAGCACTTTGCAATGTCAGCATGGTGTCTCTGGGAGGCCTGCTCTCCCAAGGGAGGTGCCAGACTCCTAGGGAAAAAGAACCATATTCCTGTTATCCATATTGTTAATTGCTTTCACTGGGGACTAAGAACAAAATCATGTATGGTACCTCTGAGCCTGCTAATTTGGAAGCTACTAAAGTAAACCCTTTAATTCTCATAGAAACCCAGGCATTCTCACCCCAACTTCTCTATAGAAATGTAATTGAAGATACCTGCAGAGAGGGTGCTGACACATAATAAGATGCTATGAAGTGGTATCAAATAATTAAACCAAAACAGCAGTTGTCAAAGTAAGAGGACAAGGTAAATTGGGTAATTTAACTGTTTTGTGGGAGTTTTTGTTCTGATTTTTCTGTTCAGTTGGAAGGGTACATTTTAGCATGAATTAGCATGGCTTTGTGATTGAATCTGGTGCTAATTAGGAGGGGTAGGGACCCATTTTATTAACCATTTCATTACTCTAGAAACAAAAAGTTGAAACTCTTAATATTGTCTTTCTGAAAAGAAAGGCCAAACAATAAACTTTTCAAAACACCTTACCTCTTTTAAAAATCATTAAAAAAAAAAAAAGAATTAAAGCTGATAGGTTTTTCAGTGAAGAACCCTAGCCTGAAAAGTGAAGCTTTTTAGCAGCTTATACAAGCACCATCCACTTTATAAAACAATACCTTGAGATGTTACTGTGTCACCAGTTAATATGAAGAACCTGTGCTGCTTGGCAACTACTCTGAAGTGGTCCCTGCAATCAGTGAGTGTTAACACTGTAAGAAAGCTTAGGTATAATCTAGGGCAACACCATCCAGTAGAATTTACTGTGATGATGAAAGTATGGCCATTGAACCCTTGAAATGGGGCTAGTGTCCCCGAGATACTGTATTTTTTGTTAACATTGTGAATCCTCACTGCAGGATACCTTTCCATTGATTTTTAGAGAGGGAGGGAAGGAGGGGGCGAGAGAGAGAGGGAGGGAAGGAGAGGGAGAGAGAGAGAGAGAGAGAGAGAGAGAGACATTGATTTGTTGTTCCACTAATTAATGCATTCAGTGGTTGGTTACTTGCATGTGCCCTGACTAGAGGTCAAACCCACAACTTTGGTGTATTGGGACGATGCTCCAGCCAACTGAGCTACCTGGCCAGGGCAAGGTGATATTTTTATTTGTTTATTTATTTTTTAAATATATATATATATTTTTCTTTATTGATTTTAGAGAGAGAGAGAGGGAGAGGGAGAGAGAGATAGAAACATCTATGAGAGATGGGACCCAGCCCACAACCCAGGCAAGTGCCCTGACCGGGAATTGAACTGGTGACCTCTTGGTGCATGGGTCAATGCTCAACAACTGAGCCACACTGGCTGGGCTAATCCATACATTTTTTTGGAGCAATTCAGCTTTGGCTCCCACTTTTCAAGTTTTACTTTTAGGAAACTATGGTGCTGGAGGGGGATGGGAGGGCTTTTTGATGGAAGTGACTAGTATGATGTGACCACTGCAAATTATTTATTTTCTAGAAAACTTGATTAAAAAATGCAGTAATGAATGAGGGAAGAGCATAGTATAGCAAAAATATTAAGGGTTTGGAGCTAAAGGGCCTGTATTAGGCCCTGCCTGGCAGGGCTCAGTTGGTTGGATGTCATCCCAGGCACCAAAATGTTGCTGGTTCAGTTCCTTGTCAGGGCACATGACCAGGTTGCAGGCTTGATCCCAGGTAAGGGGTGTGCAGGAGGCACCTATCGATGTTCTGCTCTCACATCGATGTTTCTCTTTCTCTTCCTCTCCCTTCCTCTCTCTGTAAAAAATCAATTATATGTATATATATAAAATAAAGGGCCTGCCCTGGCCGGTTTGGCTCAGTGGTTAGAGCGTCGGCCTGCGGTCCCGAGAGACCCGGGTTCGGTTCCCACTAAGGGCGCGTGCCTCGGTTGCAGTTTGTCCCTGGCCCTGGTTGGTCGTGCGGGTGGCAGCCACTCGATGTGTCCCTTCACGTCGATGTTTCTCTCTCTCTCTCTTCCTCTCTCTCCCTCCCACTCTATCTGAACAAAAAATGTCCTCGGGTGAGGATAAAAAATAAAATAAAAAATAAAAATAAATTCAAGTAAGTGCATTCAGTAAATACCTAGAAATGCCAATAAAAACATTTTAAGAGTTAAAAAAATAAAATAAAATAAAAAAATAAAGGGCCTGCATTAGGATCCAGGTTGTTACCCATCTGCCATATGTTTTTGGGCAAGTTACTTCCTTTCTAAGCTTCAGTTTTTTCATTCATAAAACAAGGTTAATTGTACTTATCTATGCCCAGGATTGACCAGACCACTCCCAGCTTCACTAGAAGGATTCACAGTTGTATTTGCAGTTAAGATTTTTTTTTTTTTTTTATCCTCACCCGAGGGCATTTTTCCATTTTTTGTTCAGGTAGAGTGGGAGGGAGAGAGAGGAACAGAGAGAGAGAGAGAGAAACATCGATGGGAAAGGAATACTTCGAGTGGCTGCCACCCGCACAACCGACCAGGGCCGGGGACAAACTGCAACCGAGGTACGCGCCCTTAGCGGGAACCGAACCCGGGTCTCTCAGGACCGCAGGCCGACGCTCTAACCGCTGGGCAAAACCGGCCAGGGCAAGTTAAGATTTTTTTTCAGTGCAAGAATACAAATCAAAATTAAAGGGAAAAAAATGAAGTCTGGAAGATACCAGCCCAACCTTTCAAGAGTCCTTTCACTGTGAAGTCACTTGGGACATGTTTAATTCCTCCAGCTTCGAATTGTAGCAATACCATGTGACATGTTGTTTACCAGGGAAGCTTATTAGAGACTCAGTGCCCAAGGTTTTTTG